TCGAAGGGCTTCTCCCCAGTGTGTTTCCTGCCGAGAAGAGAGGCTGCAGCGTTGTGGGGGCTAAGAGGCTTTCCCACTTCTCTGGTACTCGGGACCCCTCCCACTCCTACACAGGCCTATGCTGTGGTACACAGGAGGGGGTGTCCTGAGGCCAGTCAGGGCTCACCATGTAGGTTCAGTGACACCCAGGTTGGATATGCAGGGGCAAGACTAGTAATCCCCTCCAGTGTAGAGACCCTCAGGAAGGGAAGACACAGTAGCCACAGGTCCAAGTGGCCCCATCCTGGAGAGACAGCTGGGAGCCCGGAGCCAGCCCTACTTCCGCCAGCCTCGCTAAATGGCTGAGTTAGAGCTGACTGACACAGCCTGGTTATGTAGCCTCTCTATGTGGGCTCCACTTTCAACCCCATGGTAGATGGGTGATATGGCTCAGTGGACAAAAGCTCTTGGCTGCCAAGCCAGAGGACCCACGTGGGGGAGAACATCCACTCCTCAAGGTGTCCTCTGGCTTCTGCACCCCCACGAGTAAATCAAATGTAAACACCACCACCAGATTCTGCTCTCTTCATCTCCCTGACATCACAAGAACGTCACAAGGATGGCTGCAGCGGCTCATGGGGTCCCACCGTCTCACCAGCAGGTTCCATTAAGTTCAAAAGCCTTTGAAGATAAGGCAGCCCTCATCACCTCTTGGCTCACAGTCCTCCAGTGCTTCCTATTTCATACTGAGAGGGCCGGGGGCCCAGGAGGACATGGGTGGCCCGAGTGAACTAGCCAGGCTTGCTCCAAGCTCAAGACATTATTGCTAATTCTGTCCCCAACAGGTTGGTTTTCTCAGTGAACAGCTTCCTTACCCTTAGCTTAGCTTACACCTTAGCTTAGGTGGGCGACAGAGGCCTGTAAGGTAATCCCAGCTACTTGGCTTCGATATTTTTTCTCCAGCACTGGGGATTGAACCCAGGGCCTCACGTGTGAGGCAAACACACAAAGACTGAGCTATACCCCCAGCTCATTCACAGCTACTCCAAGCTGAGGCACAAGGATCACTAACTTCAGCCAGCCTCAGTAATTTAGATAAGGCCTGTCTCACTGAAAAAGGGCTAGGGATGTAGCTGAGTGGTAAAGGCCCTAGGGGTCAGACCCTAGCACTGAAGATCACGGGGCCAAAGCACAGGGATGGGAAATGGGTCCCAAGCCCACTCCAGGTGAGCACCAGCAGCTTCCCAGAGTATCATACCAACAATACGTGGCTCAACACCAGCCTCGCACAGCCGCATGGCTACCAAGCACCTAAGATGACTTGTATCTGTGGCACTCGCTTTTAAGTAATTTTAACTTAAAGCAGGCAGATCTCTGTGTTCCTGGCCAGTCTGGTCTACATAGTGAGTTACAGGCTATATAGAGAGACCCTGATTGTTTTTTTAAACAAAAACAGTCCTAGGGCTAGGTATGATGGAGTAGGCCTTTAACACCAGCACTCAGGAGGGAAAGACTGGTAATCTCTGAGTTCAAGGCCAGTTTGGTCTATGTAAGTTTACACAGTAAAGTCTTTCTTTTTAACTCCACAGTTCTACCAGGGTCCCAGCCGGACAAGTGGTCCTTTATACTTCTTACCCCCAGAGCTAATATCCCTAGAAACACAGGCGGCCTCAGTCCTGGGGATTAGCCTCTTGTCAAAGCCTACACTGCCAGACTTCAGAACGCCCTACAGTCAGACCTCCGCTCCAGCTCAGGAAGGAGCCAGGTCTGTCTCATGTCTCACGTGGGCAGAAGTCACGGTGATAGAACCTACTGTTTAGGTGTCCACAAACTCACGATCCACAGGAAGACAGGGAGGATGGAGAGGCATGCCAACCAGGCACCGTGTGGGCCTAACGTAGAGTCCTCCAGCCCCCACAGAGCCCAGAGGAGGGGATTACAGGACCCTTCCCTCAACACAGAAGGGCGCATGGGAAAAGATACTATAAAAACAGAGTGGTTACCTGTTGTGGACTTTTAGGTAGTATTTGCTGAGGAACTTTTTATGGCACGTGGGACATTCAACCGGCACCGCTGCACCTTTCCTGCTGTCAGTGGGCTCGGTTGCTAGGGAACCTGCACCCAGGGCTGGCTCCTCAGTGCAGGGCTTTCGGATGACTTTTGACTTCCTCCTGGTCAGCACAGTTTCAGGCTCAGAAACAGAATCGCCGTCGTCCTCAACTTGAACCACCACTTCCCACTAAAGTGAGAGGAGGCAGCAGGAGGGGCAGGGTCACCAAAGTATCAGCAGTAGCTTCAGGGACCCAGCTTGAATTCCAACCCAAGCCCTATCCCTGATGGTCCCCTTTCTTCAGGGGTCCAGGGAAGACCACAGGTAAATCCCGGCCTCAGAGGAAAGGGGCTCTGTTTCCAGGGAGCTGGCCAGGTTTCTCAACCCTCAGGGAACACTTGTACCCCTGATGCTCACTCCACCCCCAGGAAGCTGACAACCATGGCTAAGTGTAGCTTGCAGAAAGGTCACCTGAGGCTGCTGGCCTCCTATGTTTAACTCCAGAAGCGTCCATCTGTACCCTTAAGCTTGCCCCCCCAGTTCTTACACCCCGGTAGCAGTACCTCATTGCTCTCGCCCTGCAGCGGGGCACCTCCAGCCTCCAAAGGCCTTGGAGGCTCTTTGCAGTCCTCGGACTCTCTGTCCTCTGAGGAACGAGGCTTCACAGCCTGCCTGCCTTTCCCGCAGAGGAAGGAGGGGCTGCTCTGTGCAGGGGAGTCGAGCTGGGACTGCTGACTGTCTCTGGACTCCTGATCCCCAGGGGCCAAGCTCAGAGTCCTGAAAACTTCCTCCTCGTCCAAGTCTGCTGGCTCCTTGAGGTGGCTTTTCACATCCTGGGAGGCAGGTGGCCCCAGTCCGCTCTGGACACTTGGTGCCTGTCCCCCTGAGGTCCTGGGCTGGAAGCTCTGACAAAGCTCCACAGCCTCTGGCACCCGCAATTCTTTGGCTGCCAAAAGCACCTGATCCCTGTTCCCTGAGGTGAGGGCGAGGTGACCAGTGTAGAAAAAGTCCAGCAGGAGGCCAAAAATCTCAGCGAAGCCAGCAGGAAGGACGACGCTGCCTCCTGAGCCATCCCCATAGATCCTCTGGAAGAAATGGCTGCAACAGGCCAGGACACTCCAGTGTGCCTTGAACACCAGGCCCCCCACATCCAGCGTGGCGTCGCAATATTGGCCCTTCTCCCGCTGCTTGTTGAGTTCCTGCAGAACCCTCACGCTGTGCTGTACGAAGGAACCGTCCATAATCTGGAAAGGAAGGCAAACATCACGCTCTGGTCAGCCCTTACACTGGCGTGAGTTGGACCCTTTAACAGCCACCTGTGTTGGGATGAAGGCTTGGGTCAAGGTTAGACGTTTGCACGCGGAGCACAGCCGGAGTGGAGTGACAGCCTCTCAGGGGCGGGGAGTGGCATGGGTTGGCAGGTGGGAGAAAGCAGAGTGGGAGCGCATGGTGCAGGTCAGGACAGGGTCGGGGTAGGGTGCAAGTGAAAAAAAAAAAAGAAAATGCAAATTTGGGGATAGACAAGCGTGAACCCGAACTGATCCGCCGCGCACCCGAGGCACAGCCAGTAGGGCAAGGCCGGCGGCTGCGCACAGGTGACCCAAGCCCACGCCGCGCTTGTAGGTCCGGAGCGGAAAGCGGCCGCCACTCACCGGTCAGCGCCCGGGGCGGTTCGCCGCCTCCCTCTCCCGCGCCCTCCTCACCCGGCCGGTCCAGCCGGCTCACACCGGCCTCACTGCTCCGGGATAGACCACTTCCACCGCCCACAAGACTTAACTACTGCCCGGCCCCCTGTGCGAAGACGCCGCCGTCGCCACGCCGGAAGTGACGTTGGGACGCGCTGACCAGACCCGGACGCCTTGGAGGCGTGGCGCCCTTATGTCCCCGCCCCAAAGGCGTAGCCCCAGAGGAAGACCAATGGGCCGCTGAGGGGGCGGGGCCAGACCTGCATCCAGCCACGCTGGGTCTCATTCCCGGAGTCGCCTAGCAACATCGAGCTGTGCGCTAGGCTCCAGATCCTGCTAACTGATGTGCGGTCCCAAGCTCCCCACCACCCCTGGAACGGAAGCGCAACCAAGACGCCACGCACAACGATTCACGTCTTTATTAGGCTGGCTCTTTCTGTGTGCTTATACATCGCAAGCCATGGCTGAGCTCTCCCAGACACCTCAGGCCCTCAGCCCCCACCCCCGTATTCGCCACCTTCAAGACACTAGAGGCTTCCGGTCTGCCCTGTCCCTACAGTCCCCGCGGATCAGGTAGAGCCGCTGCGCCTCGTGTAGTCTAAAATGGACGCCTGAAAGTGTTCTGTATTGTTGAGGTCTGGACGACAGAGAATCACATAGCACTTGGGGAGGAAGTAACCACTGAAGCCGCCGCTCAGAGTTGTCAGCCCCGCCGTCACATAGGCCGCCGACAAGCTGCTGCCCTGGTAAATACTGGACATGGTGAAGAAGGTGATCCAGGATACAAAGTTGAGGAGAAGACTGAAGGTGACACATTTGGCTTCATTATAGTTCTCTGGCAGTTCCTTACCCAGGTAGCTGCAGGCAAAGGTGCTGATGGAGAGGAGAATATTGTGGGTGAACGCCAGCAGGAAGCCCACAGAGTTGACCTCTGTGCACTCAAGAATTATCAGATGGGGGAAGCGCTGGTATTCCCTGGTGGGCAGTGGGGTCCACAGTGCAAGCCACATGAGACAGATGAGCAAGTGGACCGTGGAACTGACAGCGACAAACAGACTGGCACCATGGTTTTGGGCCCAAGTGTGGTAGAACATGGGGACCTTGGTGGAAAACTTGAAGATGACGACCAGTTGGAAGGAGCGGATTGTCAGGCAGGAGAGGAAGACCGCAAAACCGAGAGAAAAGAGGGGCTGACGCAGTAAGCATGTGGGTACCGTGGGCTCCCCGAAGAAGCCATAGAAGCTGCAACTCCCTGCAGCCAGGGCACCCAGCATGAAGAAGCACATCCTGCCTCCAGCCGACCTCACAACAGGCGTATGAAGATGCCTTATAAACAGACTAGTGGTCCCAATCACCAGCAGCAGCAGCAGTGTGTTAGCTGTGAGCAGCACCACAGAGACAGGTTCGTGCCAAGTCAAGAACTCCACAGTCCGTGAGAAGCAAGTCGTGCTTCCCACAGGTGCCCACTCTTCTTTTCCACAGGGCTGGCAGATCTGAAGATCTGAAAGGAAGAACAAGGTTCCTGAGAGTCAGGTGAGCAGAAGGGAGGGGAGGCGTGGGGAAGGAAGTCCATGTCTTTGTGAGAGCTGCACCTTGGCAGGCAGGTTTTGGAGCCATAGGAGAAGGGAGCCTAGAACAGCCTCAGGCTAAACACATCCTCAAAAGGTCTGTGTTTTGTATGGCTCAGGATCTCAAAGAGGGTTTGCAAACATAGAGAGCTTTATGATTTGGTCTGAGCGAAGAACTTTAAAGATATCTTTGCCTTTCCCTTGAGCATTTCCGTCAACCAGATCCACCTGCTGAGCATCTACTCTGAGGGACCCGACTCTCCCGTCAGCACAGATAGTGAAAGAAAAGAATGTGTCCCCCTGTTGTCTAACACACTGACTTCCTCTGCCACGGATGAGCCTTTGTCTACCGTCAACGCAACCATTCAGGTGCTGACTCCCTGGCACAAGGAAGGGACTTCACAGAAACAGAACAGAACGAAGGAGCTGTATTTCTTTGGATAAAGAGGTTGCTTTTAGGACCAGATTCATCTGTGGAAGCTGACAGAGGACACACCGAGGCCTGACATTTCCAGATGGATCCGCCTGGCAGGTTCTGGGGCCCTTGTACACTGGACCCCTCACCCGCTCACTGTTCGCTCACCACTCTTGTTGAGGAAGGTCCCAGCCTCACACGGCATGCACTCAAAGCAACAATGGTGGGAGCCCACAACCACTCTGTGGTGCCCTTCGAGGCAGTCTCTGGTGCACACAGACGCAGGGACCTGTAAGAAGCCACAGTGGTTTGTAATCACATACAGGGGCCCCAGTCCAGGGACAGCTCACACGTGGCACAGAAACAAGATCTCCATGCCTCTGCCCTCCAGGTTTAGGTGCAGAGCGGAGTCCTGGGAGCATCTGTTCCTGGCAGGCCTGAGCAGAACTCAGGTGGCCTGACATCGGGCATCTCCTTCCTATTCTGGGTAGGCATCACCCCCGGGCTTCTGGTAACAAAGCTGTCACCTGGTGACTGACCATGCCCCTGTTACCTGATTGTTCTTCCCATGCCACCGGATTTTTGTCTTATTTATGTTTAGCTGAACTGGAGACAATGTGGCAGAGCCAATGACCTCAAAGGTCCATTCAGGCCCATTCCAGTCCCAGGCGATGATGTCATAGTCATCTAAAGGATCCCCGATATCATCGAATGCCACCGTGTGCTTATGTAGAAGGAAATTCACCTTGTGGATCTGCTGCAGAAGCTGGGACAAACAGACGTCATGAAGCCAAGCTACCATAGAACACAGACCCAGGCAACCCAGGACACAAGCAGGAACTCTCTTGTGCTTGTCCTGAGTGGTTCCAACCCACCTATAAGGCCTAGTTCCTTCCTCAGCAATCTGTTCCCACTTCTAGGAATCCCCTTGGCCCCTGCCCAGGCTCCTGAGAGACCTCTAGTAAAGGACTCTTTTGCAGACATTGTTGGCCTTTGATATCTCTGGGGCACGGTGGGTGGGAGAAGACAAGGCTCAAAGAGGAGAAGAACTGATCTAAGAGAAGAATAGAGACTCTTCTCATAGTGAACAGAGATTCATTCTCCCCAGATAGTCCATGTACCCACACTGCCAGGGCTGAATGGTCTCCTGGATGCAGACACCCTGGCAGGAATCTCTTACCTGCCAGGGGTAGACTGGACCCCTTGAACAGGTCTCCGAGGTACATCCCAGAAGCTGGTGGAGACCATGGGCCACAGCATACACAGCCTGGTACACATTGTAGGCAGCACTCATGGAGAAGGTTCCAAGCATGGGCATGTTATGTGTCGTGAAGGCATGGCACTCTCGGCACAGCTGGTTAGTGCTGCACTGGGATCCCTTTGGACAAGACCTGGGGGCACCCTTTACTGCCCTGATGTAAGACTCTTCAAACTCCTTCAAGCCAGGGACAAGTCTCTGTTTGATGGCCACACCCAGCACTGTCCCAATGCCCTGGATCCCAGGTATACTGGTGATGTACGTGGAGATGGCCCAGTCTTCTGAGGCAATCCACACCTTGCCAGTCAGGTTGGCCAGCACCACCGACCTGAAGAACACTCTAGCCAGGTGTCGGCTAGAGAAAACCACGACCACAGTGGTCCTGGCTTGAGCTAGCTGCTGCATCATCTGCTGCATTCTCAGGTCACCCACCTGGGCAGAAAAGGGCACGATATCCTTGAAGGCAATGCAGATGCCCTGTGGGGTGGCCAGTTCCTCCAGGGCCCGCACGCCCAGCTGCCCATAATTACCATAGCTGCCAATGAGTGAGATCCAGACCCACCCAAAACTCCGCAGCAGCAGCAGCATAACCTTCACCTGATGCTTGTCACTGGGGATCGTGCGAAGAAAAGACGGGTACTGGCGCTTTGAGCTGAGAATCTCACTGCTGGCCTCATAGCTGATCTGGGGAAGGGTTTCATTCAGTGACATCAGCAACATCAACCTTGGGTGAGGCATGCCCCTCCCCACAGTCCCCACCCAAATCAAGAGGATAGGCTCCTTTGGGGAGTGCCAGGAGGTATGGGGATCTGCCTATAGATCAAGTGAAAGGGCCATGTCATTTAAACACAGAACAGTCCATGCTTCCTTGGCATCAGTAGGACAGGGCAGGAGACCTGAACTCTAAAGTTGAAGGGGTCACTTCTGTCCTGTACACTGTGGGGACTCCCAGGGTCCCCCTGAGAAATGACATGTTCAGACTCAAGTTTGAGGAGTATATCTCTAACTGAAGTGAACTGAACTGCTGGAAAGGCTCAAGACTAGAGCAGGGGCTGATGGGATCATCTATGTGAGGGACAGTGGTGCTCTGTAAAAGGCGAAAGATTTAACCAGGTGTAACCGGTAACTCCAGCAGTTAGGAGGTGGGGGGGATCAAGAGTTTAAAGCTATCCTAGACTCTAACACAAGTACAGGGCCAACCTGGGCTACAAGAGTCCCTGTCTTAAAAAGACAAAAGAAAAAAGATGACAGATAGGTTCTGAAGGGAAACTAGACTTTAATGGTGATGTCTCAAAAAGGCAAAAGAAAAAAAAGAGAGAGAGATTCTGAAGGGAAACTAGACTTTAATGGTGATGGTCTGAAAACTGTCAGTAAAAAGCTAGGTGGGTCGTGAGGCTGCAACGGAGAGTGAGTTCCTCACAGAGCCTCTGGTGGGGAAGCTGGGTGAGGAAGGCACGCGCCAAAGTCAGAATGCATGGTCTCCATGGCCTGGAACAGGAAGAAAGAGGAGACCAGGGAAATACCAGCTGCCTCAGAGGCAGGAGACAAAAGGACTCTCCAGAGAGAGGATCTGACAGTAAAGGGGGTAGGGTATTAATGTCAAGGATAGTGCCCTACAGCCGAGGTCAGACAGGCCACAAAGCAGCCACGTACAGTAAGAACTGAAAAGCACTCTTTGAATTTGGAACTGAAGAAGGTATTCCTACAGTTAGACCAAGTGTGGACAGAATCCGAGACCGAGGCAGAAATGGACGAGTAAAATAAGCTAGACTTTCAGAGAGCTCTAGGAAGTTCAACGGCAAGGGGCAGGAAGAACCAGACTCATGAGGACAGGGGAGAGGGATCCCTGCAGACAGAAGAGCTACTTGGACAGACTGCTGAGGACAGCAGCGGCCAGGCGTGGGGCAGCACAGGACCACCGCTGAACAGCAAGGAAGAAAAGCGGCCAGCGGGTGATGCAGTATCTGGGTGGGAAGTAAAGGCTTTTGGGATAGCAAAGGCAGTGGAGTCTTTGGATGAAGAGAAGACAGAGAGTGAGCAGCTGGGTAGCTACTCTTTCAAAAGGAGGACAGGGAGTTAGCTGTGGTGGCCCACGCCTTTAATTCCAGCACGGAGGCAGAGGCAGAGGCAGGCAGATCTCTGTGAGCTCAAGGCTACAGAGTGAGTTCCAGGGCAGCCAGTGCTACATAGTGAGATCCTGTCAAACCAAACAAACAAAAATCAAAAGGCCAGGGTTTCCCAATGATGGCTGAGGCAGAAAGGCTAGAAGTAGCTGGGGACAGACAGGCAGGAAGACTGGGTAGTAGCCATGGCAGCAGAATGCCTACAGCTTGTCTAGAGAACAAGGGCTGCCCAGAGATCCAGGGGGAAGGCTACCTCAGGGAGGGCAGGCTAGCCTCAGGGAGGGCCATAGCTCCCATGGCCCTCCACCCTAGACTCGTAGATTGGGATCCCCAGGGTTTGGCTTACCAGGGGCATCAGAAAGGGGCCCAGCAGGGCAGCAGCAGTGACGGCGTGGTTGGTGTTGTCAGGCCCGATAAGTGCTACCACCTTGGAGGAATAGTTGTGAAGGTCTCTCTGCATCGCTATGTGGTCAGTCTCCTGCTGGGCGAGCACCCTCAGTAAGGCGTACACATTGGCCGACTCTGAGCACACATCATACAGCTCATACCCCAGGGAGACGTTAGGAAGCAAGACTGTGGAGTTGTTTATCTCCTCGATGCTGAACCGCATGGCCTGGAAGAGGTGGTAGCCATGGCCAACGAAGCTGTCAGGCCTGCAGGGAAAGCCCAGGGAGGACTGAGAAGGTTGAAGGCCCGCCCCCACCACCACTACCACCATCTCCTGCATCCCAAGCTTTAGGGGCAGAAAGGACCTCTGAGGTCTGTCCAAGTCAATGCCAGCCTGAACGCCCCCACTTAGCATCTCAGAACTGAGGTGTCACACATTGTGCAGTGCAGAGTCTTTCTCGTATGTACAAAGTTTTCTGCTCTCACCAGAACGCGATGGTTTAATAAAGGAAAGCGAAGACCTTTCCTCCATGGCCGCGGCATTCTGTAGCACACAAGTATCAGAGTGGCATCTCTTTCGGCTGATTAGCCAGGAATGCTTGCTCACCTAAGTACTGTCTGAACTGCTGACTCAAGGTTCCAATAAACTGTTCAATGACTTTTGGCTTAGTGTTGGGACAGAGTTTCCAATAACTTCAGAAATGGCCCTAAGCATACTTTTGCTACTTATACTATATATCTGAAGTAGTGTTCTCAACACTCAACGTATCAAGTTGAAAGAAAAAAAAAATCTGTGTTCAGATGTGCTAAATATTCAGCTGAGATTTTTTTGTTTGTTTGTTTGTTTTTTGAAACGGGGTTTCTCTGTAACTTTAGCTGACTAAAAAGTCACCCGAGTGCTGGGACTAAAGGCCTGCGCCACCATTGCCCGGCAGCTGAGATTCCTTTATGTAAAAATAAACAAGAACATTCATCTCATCATCTCATTACCATTAGTCTGTCTCTGTCTTCTTATTTATTTATTTATTTGTTTGTTTGTTTATTTTGGTTTTACTAGACAGGGATTTTCCGTAGCTTTGGACCCTGGAACTCACTCTGTAGACCAGGCTGGCCTCAAACTCTCAAAGATCTTCCTGCCTCTGCCATCTGAGTGCTGGGATTAAAGGCATGAGCCACCATGCTCAAATATATATCTATTTTGTATAACTAAAGTCATGTTTAAAATTCTCAGGAGGGGATGGAGAGATGGTTCACAGTTAAGAGTTAAGACTGCTCTCACACAGGTTTGGGGCGCTCAGTTCCCAGCACCCACATGGCAGCTCACAATCATCTGTAACCCCAGTGCAGGAGCTCTGATGCCCTCTTTTGGCCTTTGTGGGCACCAGGCATACATGTGGTACCCAGATATATTTGTAAGCAAAATACCGACATACATAAAAAATAGTCGGATGGTGGTGGTACATGCTTTTAATCCCAGCACTTAGGAAGCAGAAGCAGGTAGCTCTCTGAGTTCGAGGCCAGTCTTGTCTACAGAGTGAGTTCCAAGACAGCCAAGGCTACACAGAGAGACCCTGTCTCAAAAAACAATAAACAAATAAATAATAAAAATCAATCCTTAAAAATATTTTCCAGGTAAAAATTGGCATGAATGCAAAAACTTAAGAAGCCCTGCCCTAAAGAAACAGGGTTAACACATATGCGCACACACACACACACACACACACACACTCAAGCACAGACAAGCATACACACCGGGAGGTCCACATTAAGGAACTGGCTTACATGCCTGTGCGAGTTACTCAGTTCAAAATCTGTAGAGCTAGCCAGTAGGATGGACAGTCTAGTCCTGAACCCGAGGGCAGGTGGGGACCGTAGTCCTGAATCTGAGGGTCGAGTCTCTTTACTCAGAGTCTTTCTTCTCTCTGAGGCCTTAAAGGGATTGTGTGAGGCCCACTTATTGTTCATGGACAGCCTGTTTTATTCAATCTATCAATTTAAATCTTAATCACATCACAAACAGACTTTTCCAGCAACATCTAGACTGACATTTAAGCCAACAACTCTAGGCACCATCTCTTGGACAAACAAAATGTAAAATTACCTCACACCTGCCTTACAGGTTCAACCTAGGCTAAGCTTTCTCTGCTCTGGACACTGTTCTCAACAGAGCATGACGCTGAAAACATGACATGCAACCCTGCTGCACAATCTCCAACTCTCTCCACTCTCCAACCCTCTGCCTTCCGGAAGATGCCCGCTCCCTGCTTCTATCACTCCTGTCTCGTGTACAGAGAGGCTCAGTACCTCTTGAACAGAGAGTCCTTCAGTTTTATAAAGCCAGTTTTCTTGTGTCCTCAAAACCTGTCTTCCAAGTCCAAGTTTCTCCTTCCCAGCCTCCTGTTGGAAACTCTTTGGCCTAGTCTTCACAGGCCAGGGCTTCCAGAACCTTACTTGCTTCCTGGCCAACAGTCAGGTAGTCTGTGTGTGTAGAGTATCTCACAGCCTGTCGGCCTGTCGTGAGAACACTCTAGACCTCCCTTCCCAACAGGGGACTTGCGTAGACGAAGAGCAACCATCTTTAAGAAGAAACCCGTGGGGAATCCCAAGTGCCAGCTTCAGAAAAGCCAGGGGCCTTTGAGTTATAATATGCTCTAACAGCAAAAATGAAAGAACATATCACAGTACAAATAAAATACATTGTGGTATAAATAAATAGGTGGTATCCTAAAGTAGAAACGGATGGACTCGTTCAGCTATCAGCCAGACTTCAGTCCTTGCAGAACAGAGGGGAAGGATGGGCCAGAGGTAAGCAGAGGAGCCTCTGTGTTCCACTGTGAGCCCCTCTCTTTCTCCCTGCATCTCGGACAGGGTTTCTAGCCTAGGCTGGCCTTGAACTCACAATGTAGCTGAGGATGACCTTGAACTTCTGATCCTTCCAGTACTCTAGACAAGCTCCAAACCAAACCGATTGAACCACATCCCCAGTCCCCTAAGTGACAGCTTTGATGACCCCTTTACTCACCTGTCACAATGTGTCACCTGGGGTTGGTTTCTCACCTGCAGATAGTCTGCATGGAGACCGAACAGGCCTGCGAGGAGGTAATCTCCTGGGAGGCTGAAGCTCGGCGAGGACTCTGTCTTGTAGCAGCTGAAAGCCCAGCAATAAGCAATGTGGAGCTGCAGGCTGACCAGGTATGCTGCCCAGAAAAACATGCTGGCCAGATGCCCCTTTGCCCAGCATGGCTGAGCACACCTTGGACAAGGCTGGCGTCTTAAATACAATGAGTGACAACTGCCCTGGCGCTTCATAGCTTCGTGCCCCTGGAAGGGGTGGAACAAGTCCCGTTGCAGAAAGACGGCTAGTCTTCCGGACTGTGGTCTCTCTCAGGAACTGGGCAGGGTCAGGGCATGCATGCAAACAAGGTGGCCCCCTGAGACCCCTCCTCTGGACGGTTGTGGTTTCTGCCCTTGCTTGGGTGCTTTTGGCTTCACCTGGCTAGGGAGGGGAGCCCTGATGGTTTTCCGGGAGGAGACTCGGGCACTAAAGGTCAGGGTTGCTCTCAGGCAGTTGTTGGCTTTTTTTTTTTCCTTTTTTGTGTTTTGTTTATTTTTGTTTTTGAGGCGGTCTCTTGCTCTGTTGTTCAGGCTGGCTTTGAACTCCTGGGCTGAAGCCATCCTCCTACCTTTGTCTCACGGAAGTAACTGATAGATAGTACTGTTGGCTGTCAAGAGTCTCCTGAGAGTTACAGGAGTTAAATAATTTAGTAATCCTCATTTAGTAAGCCTGAGTGGTCACCTACTGGCCCTAGTATTCAGACTTTCAAAATGTATTTAATCATCATGGTTTAACCTTGTCCTCCAGGATTGCTCCCATCGGCCAAAAGTCAAATGTATGCAAACCCAGCATTATACAAATGGGCCGAATTTGTTTTAAAATGCCAACCCTGTTTTTATTTTTTATTTTTTTCTGCAGGAAGAAAAAGAAATCCCAGGTGGATTTCCTGAGAGGTCGCCTTGTGGTTAAATCCAGGGGCTTCGGCTCCCACTCTTCAGCCAGCCAGGGTGGGGTTTTGCATAATGTAAATGGGGCCCTGGATGGGAAAGCCAAGCACGGGCCGCCGGAGCCTAGGCAGGGAGGGCTGC